TCTCTCTCTCTCTCTCTCTCTCTCTCTCTCTCTCTCTCTCTCTCTCTCTCACTCTCGCCATCTCCACCAACCTCAGTCGCTGCGAATGAAGCGGCAACTCTCTCCGTGAGTCGGATGTGTGATCGGGGCGAGGTTCGGGGGCATGTGATCGGGACGTGTGATTGGGCCGTGTGATGAAGGCCGAGATCGCCTCTCTCTCGGTCTCTCTCTCTCTCGCTATCTATTTATCTCTCTTTCTCTCTCTCTCTCAACTCAAAAAGTTTGCGAACGAAACAGACAAGCGTGAGAAACGAACGAGATAGACCCACTAAAATAAAATCTATCTTTCTCTCTCTCTCTCTCATCTCAGAAAGTTTATGAACGAAACAGACAAGCCCGAGAAACGAACGAGATAGATCAACTAACGACGAAGACGAAGATGGAAGAAGCACACGACCGCAAAAGGTATGCGAAGAAGAAAAAGCATTTGCATACGTTTTGTCGCCGTGTTCTACTACCATCATCGTCTCCATCGTCAGTTTTCATCTCAGTGGCTTTATTTCGTTAGTCTTTTGCGTTGGCCTGTTTCTTTCGCGAACTAACCTCGGGCTGCGTTCGCGGGTCCCGTTTCGGTGGTGACCTCTCGCCTCGATCGGATGGCACACTCACGCGTGTTCAGAACGTGACACGCGGACGTGTGAGTGTGCCATCTGATTTGGGCGAGTGGTCACCAACGAAACGGTCTCGGCGCGAATACCCTGACAGGGGTATCCGCCCTTGTTTTTGCAAGTGACCAGAACTACGAGTAGAGGTCTAACGTGTACTGCACGAGACGCGCCTAGGTCTGTTTGGTTACATAGGTAAGTTGTGTGATTAGAGTAGAGCGGGTGTGGACGCGCGGGATTAAGGCGCGCGTGTGATTTTTCTACTTTGGATTATGCAACCGGCATAGTTGGCCGGCCTGACTTTGGTTACTAGGAGTAAAAGGTGCCCTTGGTAGGGATAGGTGACCGTTGGTAGTCTAACGTGTGAAGTAGGGTGTGAGGTAGCCACGGCGCAGAGAGGGCAAGCCGGCATGGGAGCCTAGCGGTAGCATGCCTAATGGGAGGTAGGGATGAGGGCTGGGGCTGTGTCCCAGGCCTGGGGGCCGCGCCACACCTGTTCATATGGAATACCGCGCAGGCCAATATCAGGCTTGGGCATAGCCCTATAGGTTATGATGTTGAACTGCTACAGGGATCGAAGCCAGCAGGCAGCAAAGCAGAGCAGCGGAGCAGCGTGAAGAAGGTTGAGGGGTTGAGGGTCCCGAGGGACTATCCCCTTTGGTTTTGCTAAGGGGAGTCCAGCCACGGGCCCATGAGGGTAGGGACAGGTACTAACGGTCCCCCTCCCCCGTCCGTTTTTCTTTATTATTTTTTTTCGGAGTTAAACTTTTATATTATTTTTATTTTATGGGGACTGCCGTTATTTTTTTGAATTGCCTGGTTGTTGGTTAATGAGGGGGATCGAAGGTCACTGCTGCTGGGACGTTGACGGGCCGAGGGCCACCCCGAACCCAAGGTTGAGCCCAGGCCAGTGGACCGACGGTCAAGTCCGCCAATGCGGAAGTCGGAAGAGCCCGGTTGCAGGCCTCGAGTCCCACCAACAAAGCGCCGTAAGGATCTGGGCGCGCTGAGGCCTGAGTAAGAGGGCCGCTCAACGAGCGACAAGAGTATAAATCCGGAGGCAGCAAGTCGTCTTCCATCCAGACCGGCGTGAGCCATGCGGGAACGCTGCTACAGCGGACTAGCGTGGTAGAGGGAGCATCCCCGTTTGAGCCGGCATACGCAGCAAGTGGGCAGAGACAACGGGCCGTGTCCAACTGTGGGATATGCTCCCACTCTGTCGCTGAGACTGGCCGGCAGAGGGGAAGAGAACCTGGACCGGCCCTGGCGCAGGGTGCAGACAGGGAAAGAGCGGCCTATGGCAGAGGCGGCAGAGGACGAAAACGAATGAACCCGGACGAAAATCGTACCGGGTGCATTCGAAGGTGGGTGAATGAGGAGGCGGGTGAGAGTGAGTGCATGAAAGTAGGGGGACGAGAGAGCGTGAGCACGAAGAAAAACGAGCGCGCTCGGGAGAAGAGAAGAAGGCGGTGGCGGACTGAAGGAGAGAGACTGAATCTGGACGTGGGTCTGCGCCACGTGCATTCGAAAAGGAGATTGGAGATGGCGACTGGAAGGAAAGTGTGAGAAGAAAGAAAGTCGATCGGCCATTTCTCAGCCGATTTTGATGAGAGAAGAATCTAAGTAGGGGCTTTGGGGGTAGGCGACCTCGAATTCGCAGTTAGATTAGGTGGAAAATCAGTAGAAGAGGGAGTAATAGGAAAAAAAAAAAAAAAAAAGGGTGCGCGAACAAGTCGAGAGAAGAAAAAAGGAGGATGACGGACGGATTTTGTAGTAGGACCACGAATTTGGCGCTATAGGAGTCTGGGGTTGCGCGACTACTTTGGGGGGAATTAGAGTATGACGATGCATCCTTCCCTGTTCTAGCGGAAGATCCGTTCTTATATATAGTGATAGGTGGCCCGTAGTCGCGCCTGTTCGCCAGTCTCTGAGCGCACTTATGGCCATCACCGTCCCATTGGTGATACGCTGGCCGATGGGCATGTTCATCTTCAAAGTCATACTTGCCTTGCTCGCCTCTACCCCAACGCGGCCCCTCATCTTGGTCACGGACTCGCCGTGCGCTGTTCCCCATTGAGACCATCGACTCGTGGCCTTCGCATGATCACGATCGTCGCCCTGTTGGTGGTCATCGACACTTCTGAGGGTTACAACCGTCTTCACGAGTCACACACATTCTTTCTCACGTTATTGAGAACACAAGTAGAATGAACTTGGCCTGGGCTTCCGGCCGGATGCGTTGAGGTAGTAAAGCAAGGGTAAGAGAAGGAGGAGCAGGGAGAGGCGGAGGAGGTTCTGATACTTACCTGGTCGGGACGAACTCCTGGCCACGAGGAGGACTGGAGCTAGGTACGGATTCTCGCTGAGTATGCAGCAAACGAGACAGAAATAATAATAATAATAATAAATGAAGCCACTACATCTCCCCGGATGGTAGTGGGAGATGTACTCTTGTTTCGTATATCTGGTAGTGGAATATGGTAAGACCATCGTGATAAGCTTCGTCTTGGCGCCCCTTGTATCCGCCTTCATTATAGCGCTTGCCTACATCTCCTGACTGTACCAAACAGTAAAGACGGTCAGGTGGACTCGGACTCATTAGGGGGAGGAGAGACGAATGAAAGAGGGAGTCAGCTGAACCTAGGCACGGGGGCCCAGCCACGTGCATGGAGGTCATAATAATAGAAGTATTGCAATCATGTACCTTTCCATGTTCTAGTGGAAGGTACATTTTCAGTTTGCATAGTTGAAGCATAATGAAATAGGTACAACAATAATTGTCAGTATGTGCTGCTCCTAGAGTGACCACGGGTCTGCAGCTTGTCTGGCTGCTGCGGGGGCACGTTGTTATTCTCAGTTGGTGGCACGTTGTTATTCTCAGTTGGTGGGATGATTGGCCTGCTCCATTGACTACCAGCATCTTTCCTCATAGTAACGCAGTATGAAGGTGACTCTCAACCTCAGAGAGGCTGGACACAGCAAGCATTGGCAGAATGGGAACTCTTCTTGAGTCTGTGGGTGGTACCGCTTGCCCGATTGCAGGTGGTGGAATAATTTAGCTGGTTACTTCCGTTAAACGAACAGGACCTCGGGCTACTATGGTTTATACTCCGCTGCTGCAGATACCATAGTCTGGGCGTACCGTTGGTTAAACAGCAAAAGGTTGTGCTGCTGCGCCCAGAGCGGTCCCTTGGGCGGTGTGATCATGCGGTAACCATGTACAAGCAGTATATTGGCCGGTAGGAGGAGAACCGGAGAAGGTGATTGGTAGGGAAACGCCTGAGCAAGGGAGCGGCAACAGATTGAAGTTCAGGGAGGAAAAGGGGGGGCAACTAGAAAAGGGAAAGAGTGGAAGGAGAGCGACCGGGTCAACGGGAGTCATACCTCTTGTTGACAAGGTGGGCAGCTGTCTCACCTCCCAGGCTGCCTTTTCGTCAGCAAAAGGGGTTGCTGCTGGTTTAGAGGTCGAGTTACAGTTACGAACTGGTGAGGCCATCGCGGAGAGTGAGCTGCTGCGGCTTCTTCCCCAGCGGCAGGCTGCTCAACCGCTGCTGTTCCTACTCCACTGTGGCAGCCTTGAGACTGGGCATTGTTGGGTTAACTATGTCTGCTGCGCTCCGACGAACCCTGATTGCTGGGTCTGTCATGGGTATTGTGCTCTTGGCTGTTTTCATGACTTTTGCCACAGCACATAGACTGTGTGTTGTTTAGCCCTTGTGAAGCCTCTGCAGCACCGCTTGGCTGTGTAGGGTATTGGCTGTGCGCTTTTTCGGTACCTCCTTGAGGCGCTGGTCCTCGCCACAAACAGATTGCTGTGTAGGATACCACTCCGGCTGTGCGTCTTGCTGTGTATCAGTTAAGTACTTACCGTGCGCCTAAGGTGCTGGCTGCTGCTGGGTCAAGCTGCCACCACACACAGGCTGGGCACTGTCAGTTCCCATACCGAAAAATTGCTGAGTACGGCCCTGTTCCGACCTGGTTATCTGGGCCGGTGTCCAGCTGGGATAGTGATGAT